CCCCTCCGTAAATCCAGCAGAAACCAGTGGACTTGGTTGCTAACCTTTCCATAGATCGCTGGAGATCAGTTTCAGAACATGCCAACAAAATAAGGTCGTTCACAGACACACTCATCGTCCTTGCTACGCTTGACTATTCTATCCATGTACAACACCACCAGGAAAGGGCCAACACTCCCGCTTGTTTGTGTTGTACATGGATTGAATAGTCAGGGCAATTTAAGTACTAGCCTAGGAGATGCGAAGACAAGAAGGCTGCTGTTTGAAGACAACCTTGTTTTGTTAGCATCTTCTGAAGCTGATCTTCAGCGCTCCCTAGAAAGTTTCACAGGCGAGTGCGATGTGACCGGCATGCATGTGAATTCATCTAAAACGAAAATCCTACTGCATTTTCATTGTCCTGCCCGTTGCTCTCTTCAGATTAACGAAGAGGCAGTGGAGCACATATAGAAATTCACGTACCTCGGGTCGTGCTTAGGGGTGGTGGAAAATTTGGGGAAGGGATCGATGGTGTATTGGAGTAGTTAGTGGCGTTACTCCGTGAACTAACGCGAACTACTGTGACTACAGCAGAAATGAGTCTGAAGACTAAGCTCTCAGTGTTATAGTTGACCTTCATCTTCATGACTGAAAACCTTCGATCCCGAGTACATGCGGCAGAAATGGGCTTTTTGAGGTTTTCATAGCTGGCCTCTCGATATGACCCGAAATACAGACACCCGCGAAAACCTTGGTATACAGCCGTTGCTTCTTCAGATTGAGAAGTCACAGCTGCGGTGGTATGGGCACGTGTTGCGAATGTCTCCAGAAAAGAATGTGAAACAACTACTGCCTTCCCAGACGAAAGGCAGAAGACCCAGCCGAGATTAACTTGGTGCAAATGTATGGAAGGAATCTGCTCTAGACTTTGATTGTCTTCTGCCGAAGAACAGACTCTGGCACAGGATCGGGAACGTTTGAAAAACTGTCTGACACGTCTGCCTCCGCGACCGGAAAGGAAAAATGGTTATGGAAATGATGATTAAAAGAATAAAAGCATTAACAGCGCATCGTTGATGCTGAAACATCACAGATTTGCCTGCTCGGTGACATGACACTGTGAAATCCGACTGGATGGAGTAACACGCCAATTAATACACTGGGGATAAATCCGCATTTCTGAAGTTTTTAAAAGACAAAAAATAATGACTCGAGGTACATCACTGTCAATGAGCAAGGCATTACTGTAGCTAGCAAATTTACGTAGGGGCAAAGGGATGGTACCACAACACCATGAAAGCTGAAATAAAATATTTATATGGCAGTTAATGTATGTCGAGAGGAGGAATTCGTATTTCCGATACACATAATATATTGAAAAATTACGAACGTCTTACTGTACCTTGGAAAAGAGCCAATGATTAAAGTGTGATTTTCTAGGTATGACAGTTATACATCAACCAAGAGATAGCTGCACACCTCTGGACGTATCTTACGCCATATAAGATTGACGTGCATGTCAGCGTCGAAGTAGCAGACAGGAACGAGAATGGTATGCAAGAAAACGCCTTTCATTTGACCATGCGATTCCAGGTGCTGAAGCGCATCCCACGATGGGTTAAACTTCACACTCGAAAACGGACCGAATCCGGTAGCGACGATATGGTGGCGTTTTGAACTGATACTGGCGTCGGCGTTCATCTAAATAACTACCTATAATAAAGTGAACTCAGTCCGTTCCTTCGAAAACCGTGGGAATTTAAGGAGCACGATATCTGAGTCAAGTGGCACCTAAATTCAACTCCGGATGCAACTCACCTCTTCGATAAATCACTTTGGTGCAGGCAATCAACAATCCGGCAAAGCACATGCCGCCTAGCAGCACAACCGGATGAGTATCGGAATGACAGCCAGGGTCAATCAACTGTAGGGAAATCGGTCGCCTTGACGTTTCCCTGATGCACGATGAAAATCAAAGAATGCAATTCAATTATACAGTTAAGGTGAACTATTTATTTTCGTTTCGAAATCACAAATAATTAAAAATTTATTGACTGAATGGAATCACCGAAGAGCTATATTTATCATCAACCTAGAGAACCTTGTTTAAAGGATCAACGAGTCGGGAGAGCCCAGATGGAAGCGGAGCGCACCGGACTCACACTGCAAATACCGCGCTTTCAAATTCCTATCAGGTCCACTTGATGTTCCATCGAAGAAACTTAGTTTTAACTTAACTTTTTCTTGACCATCGACGCATATTGTTCGTCTATATAAGGCGACTAGTACTCTGATAGTAAAATGTACCCTGACGGTGCTACGTAGCGAAACGTGTTTGTACAAGATGTGTCAAAATCTGAGCGGTTTGGTGCTTTCAACTGCGAATTGGCAGCGCATCTGTAATTTCATTAACGGACAGAGAATCGAAAAATGCTATAACGTATAAACACCGATAAGATTTATCGAATTAATTCGATAGTTGTAAACAACAGAACCAAGCTTTAAGCTTAGCCTTAGATGAGATCTTCTTAGATTTAATTTCGACAGTCTGTTCAGATCAAAGTCTGCCGATAACCGCTTCATCTTGCAGGACTATTAAGTTGGTACAATTTCGGATTCAGAATTGAGAGGTTATGGATTCGAACCTTGGTGTGGGTTACTTCTTTTTCTTCCTTTCGAGGTTGATAAATGAGTGACACTCTCTACGAAGGGAGAAGGTGATTATACCCCATGTTTGTCCGATAACTGCTGTCGACTCGACATTTAAAATAAGACACTTCTGACGGGACGGATGGAATGGTAAGGGAGATAAGGACCCATCATCAACAAAATGAAAAAAAGGCGCAAGAAAAGGCGCTATCACGAAAGTTAAGGAAGACTGATATTCCAACGGTTAGAAACTTCCTTTCCCCTTTTTTCTTGTCTAATCTTCCAAGCACACACACACACACACACACGACAAGGTTACTCTAAGTCGACAACAGCGCTAATCCCAATCTCCACTTAACGCTCGCAGAACTCGGAGGAGGCACAGCAGTTTGTTTGAAAGAACAGCAGTAGGTAAAGTAGACGAACTTGTTCAAAGGCATGGAAGGTGGAAAAGGAGGAGGGTTGAAGACCGTGGCGAAATCGACGTGAAATATAGCCACCTGCCCTTCATGGCATTAACGCCATCGAAAATTATGCCCGCTCGGCCGTCGCTCGGGCTGCCGATGGCCACGCTGGCTTTTGGGGGACTGGGGCAGGCTGCGAAAACATCACAACCTGCACATCGCCTTCTGTCAGACAGGGGCGTAGCAGCACAACAACGGCTGACGAACTACCATAATCAGCAACTAAGTCCTTGCCCATTATGAATGGAGGAGCCACACAGTATGATGTCATTATAGCACGACGGAAAAGGCTCCACGAGAGTAACACCGACAGTGGAAGCCTACAGTCAGAAATTGCAAAATACACCCCCACTCAGAGGGAAAGAGCACAATTTAGTTGATGAGACCACAACGTACCAACTCGACATAGTTGGACTCTCGTCAACGAAAGGCCAAGGCTTTAAAATCATAACCTCTGCGGTGGGAGCTATTCTACTGAGGTGTCGATATCACGATGCGCAACTCAGGCCAGTGTTGGTGTTCTGGTAAAACTCAACCTCGCTGATAGAATAACTGATTGGAAGTCTGTCAGCGAAGAGTGGCAACCCTCCGACAAAAGCCACAACAGGCTAATGCACTGACCTTGTTACAGGGCCCTGCGCCCAATTTCGAGGGAGAATATGCTGCCTTGACTTGAGGAAGTGGAGTGTGCCCTGTACGAAATGCCGAATACGGAGTGCCTCATACTCATGGACGATTTTAATGCGCACATCAGAGTAGACGCTGAAAAGTGGAAAGGCGTGATTAGAAAAAACGACCCAGCTACCTCAACAATAACGGCATGAAGTTGTTCAGGCTCTGTGCAAACAACCAACTGCCCATTGAATACTTCCTTCTGACACCGAAGAGTGTATCATTATACCTGATACAGGGAAGCTTGTGCATAGAAGTCGATGATCAATTTGATAATCGTATCGTTTAACTTAAGACACTTTGTAATGGATGTTCGCGCCAAGAGACGCGCAGAGCTGTCGCTCGATCATCACTGTTGTTGGCACGATACGCTCTAATTGATCGAGGACCATGCGAAAACCCAGTGGCAGAAGCAGTCACAGAATTATATGGAAAACACTATCACCTGCAGACACGAGAGCGAAACCTATAAACAAAATCGCATGACGGTCTGAACAGATCCCGTGATGACCACTAATGCAAAAACGGAGTGGAAGCTCTTTAAGAGCAGCAAAATCAAGGTTGCCGCCGAATGCTGCGGATTTAATCGGGATGGTCTGCCACCTGTAGGTCAGAAAAGAGCTTCCTGGTGGACATCAGCGGTACAACTGGCAGTTAAAGAGAAGAAGGCAACGTTCAAAAAATGACTTGGAAACAAGGAACTTTCTACTCACGTGCGATATGTCGAGGCATGCAAGGAGGCAAGCAACGAAAGCAGTTGCGAAAGCCAGAGCCGATTCCTGGGAGAAGTTCGGCGAGGTGTTGGAGTCACATTTCCACACGGCAGACAAGGTATTCTGGCAGGCCATTCGCTGCCTCCGAGGTGAATGTTGTACCTTGAACCCCTATTCAAGAAGGGAGAACACAGGGAATGTTCCAATTATCTGGGCATTACGATATTTAGCCTCCCAGGTAATGTCCACGCAAAGGTGCTAGAAAGGAGATGCCGCGGAATAACTGACTCCAAGATACAAGAAGAGCAGTGTGGCTTCCGGCTCGGTCAAAGCACCTCTAACCACATATATGCCTTGCCTACAACTGTTGAGAAAGCGTGGGAGTTCGCACATTCGGTGCACATGTGCTTTGTGAGCATAGAGAAAGCCTGTGACCGGATCCCGTGAAATTGTCAGTGGACATCCGGAATCCAGTTGCTACGGACCATCCAATCACCGTATTCTGATAGCAGGTGCTGCGTCACAATAAATGGCTTTAAGTCGAAACCCTTCAACGTTAGCACTGGTCTCCGCCAAGGCTACATCCTGTCTCCTGTCCTGTTTGTGTTGTACATGGATAGAATAGTCAGGAACAGTCAAGGCGATGAGTTTATCGGTTTAGGAGATGTGCAGACGAGAATGTTGCTGTATGCAGAGGAAACTGCTTTACTGGCATCCTGTGAAACTCACCTACAATGCTCTCCGGAACGGTTCGCAGTAGAGTGCGCCGTGATTGGCATGCGTGTGAATACATCTAAAACGAATAGCCTAGTGCTTTCTTGATCTCATGCCCGTTGCTCTCTTCAGATTAACGGAGAGACAGAGAAGCAGGTGGAGAAGTTCAAGTACCTCGGAACTGTATTTACTAGTGATGGAAAGTTTGAGGAAGAGATCGA